TAACACTCATCTACGCAAAGAAACTTGAAAAAGTTGTTCGTTCCAAAACTAGAGGTGCGTTTTTTGGTGTATATGAAACAAATGTCATGCAATTTAATGAGTCTACGGCTAACATTTGTGGATCTACGTTTGTATAGTCTATTCCGAGTATTTACGAAGACACTTCTTATTCAGGTGATGAAAATGATGTTCTTATCGACAATATTCATCAAGAAGATTCGGGGATCAAAAGGAACGTCCCATCTGCTGCTGTAATCGACAATATTCATGAAGAAGATTCGGCGATCAACAGGTTCCAGAACTAGTCTGATGTAATGTACATTAATAAACAGCTCTAGCAACAAAGCAACAAGAACTAAGTGTCAGTTTCTTGTGTATTCTTAATCCATCTCATAATACGTTACACAGTCCTTAAAGTAGCTTAGCAAAACACATTCCAGCTTATATCAATATCAATAAGATATAATGTTACATCTTCCCCTTTAAGTTGCTTAATAAAACTTAAACAATAAATGAAATTTTAATAAACATATGTCCTTTAAATTTTAACTGTCACTAGGCCTTTAAATAAAAATCACTGTATATTAATGATAAAGTCACAATACAGTTCACATACATTTGTAAGTAGCTGGGTTATATTTTACAATCCTTCTTAAACAGTAAAAGTTTATGACAGTCATGTAGTCCTGTGAAGATCCACACTGGAGAAAATCATAACATCGCTCATTTTGTAAAGTTCATAATTTTAAAAACAACTGGAACCGTCTGAAGAATACTGAAGTATATCCAAAATAAATGATGTTGGTATCACCAACAGTTTACACCACACATATAAGATCCAATGATGAATAATAAGTACCGTGTATAAGCAAATATAAAGCAGTTTTAGTCTGGTACACTCTGAAGTTTTATAAAAAAAGAGTTGCACACAATTAAAGATCAAGCCTCTCTGGGGCTTTCCTCATACGAACTGGATACCGCCTCTCCCGAACGACATCTTCCTTGGATACCTGAGGTAATACACTTGGTAACTGTTCTGATGAATACGACGGTATCGATGTTTCGACAGGACGTATATCTTCCTTGAGTTTATAGGATGCACTTACTGGTTGAACATCTGCTTCACTCCTACTAGGTATATAATCACGGGTATTTTGTTCAATAGACACCGGAGGTTGAGTATCTGTTTTCATCAGATGCCTCCTATTCCTACGATAACAAGCACCATCTGGTGTTTGAATTATGTATGACCTTGGCGTTTTATCATGAACTCCAACAACTGCACAGGGCTTACTCCACCTTTTGTGATGATCCAATTTCACTCGTGCATAATCATTTACACCAAGAGGCTGTAAACACTTGGCGCCATGTCATACATCATGATAATATTTGTTACGTTTCTAAACAATTTCATCATGTACACACACCTTTTGCATATCTGGTATATTTGGTCTTAGTTTATCTGGTAACACAGGGACAGTGGACCTCAATTTTCTACTCATGAGTAATTCAGAGGGACACAAAGCTATTGGACCTACTGGTATGGAGTGGTAACTAAGAAGGGCAAGGTAAGGATCTTTTTGTTTGAGGAACTGTTTGGCCGTTTGAACCGCACGTTCCGCCTCCCCATTAGCAGAAGGATTATGAGGAGAAGTTGTAATATGCTTGATATCATACTCATCACAAAATGCTTTGAAATCTGTGGAACTTAGCTGAGGTCCATTATCACTAACTAGTTTCTCCGGCATTCTGTGATGAGCAAACAATGACTTCAAAAGTTTGATCACCTCAGTAGATGTTGTTCTTTGCATTTTCATTATTTCAATAAAGCGTGAGAAATAATCTACGACAATCAAATGGTTTTGATTACCTCATCACACAAATCAGTCGCCATCTTTAACCACGGCCTTTCAGTCATTGGCGTAGGAATCAACGGTTTGCGATTTTGTTTTGATCTTTTCATTTGACAGTGATCACAATTCTGAATCATATCTTGAATTTGCAAACTAAGTCCAGGCCACCAAAACCTACCGTAAAATCTACCGTTACTATTTGGAAATTCTGAAAAATTGATGTATTCCCAGATCCCGTATTGCCCTTGTAATATTCCATTACCAACCCGAAAATAAATAGGTGTCGGCACGTCTGTGGCAGTACTTAGTAAGTAACTATAAGTAAGCTAGCGTGTAATCAGTCAACACACTGGGAGTATCATGATGCAAAAACACAGTGTTCAACTACCACAGGTTCTACTGTAGTTATAAAAACACTGAAGTGTTCAAATTGTTAGTCTGTTTATGAAAGAGTTCCATGAATGATGTTTTAAAAACATAGTTTATTATTTATTCATTGAAGTGTGTCAAAATCCATGCAAAATCAGTTTTTTAAATCTGCCGCAAAAACTACCACATTTTTTCAAAATCTTCCGCTAAAACTAGCGCATTTTTTTAAATCTACCGTAAAACTACCTCATTTTTCAAAATCCTCCGCAAAATTACAGTTTTTTCAAAAATCTACCGCAAAAACTACCGTATTTTTTCAAAATCTACTGGGATATGACCGCATTTTACAAAATCTTCTGCAAAACTAGTTTTTCAAAAATCTACCGCAAAACAACTGCATTTTTCAAAATCTACTGTAAAAGTACCGCATTTTTCAAAGACTTCCGAAAAGTACCATTTTTAATAATCTACCGCAAAACTACCAAATTTTTTCATTAATGGTCGAAAATCAAAATATTGACAAATTTATAACCTGAAAGGCCGAAAGATTATGCGGCAAATATGGAAACGGGGGTTGTTGACATATTGTATTCGCTTTGATCTCTTAGAATCCGTTGAATCCCAAGCGATTGGAGTTGTTTGGATCACTTAACGAATGAAATAAAATGATGAGGATTTGAGTTTTTCAAAGTTTATAATGGCGTCCAATGGGGGATTTTAGGGCAAAATATCCCGAAATTATATCATTAAAAGGCCGAAAGATCTATGGATGGATTTTGCTGATTTATGTATTAAAACGATCACTTCGTTGGGTGTAACAGGGATCCGTTGAATCCTAAGAAAATAAATGATTTGCTAAAGTTATCAAGATTTTAAATGTTGATGAAGTCTGCTCTCCATTGAAATCTTTGGACCATTAAATGTTGATTTACGCGCATGCGTTGTGACGTTATTTCCATTATTCTACGCCATAATATGATCCACATACATAAATGAACATCCAAACTACATATTTTATTAAGTTTTGGAGCCATTTTTGCGCTTAAATTTACATCTTTAAGGAACATTTGAATTTGGGAGGGTATTTTATTATTTGCTGATCTCCCCATTCTGGTCAATGGCACAAATGCTATGTACAGGGTGATCAATAAATAAGGTAAAAGTATCTGGCATTTTGTAAATATTGGTCCAAACATCCTGAAATTTGGTCAGAATATACCTTGTACATTTCTAAATTAAAACATATAAATATATAACTTCTGACATCTGATAGGTTAATATTATAGTTACTATGGCAACTGGAGTCGGGGGTACCCGGGGCAATTTCATTGCGTCCAATTTGAATAAAAAATGGTAAAAAGCACATCTTTTTCAAACTGAAAATAAATAAATGTGGGTGCCAGCATTTATTGTTTTAATGCTTTGTTTCCATTGTTACATATTTTCTTGCAAATTTGATTTTTGATGTCACGGAAAAGATAAATATATAATGAAAACTGATGTGGTCATATAAAGTCTATGACACAGGTCAATGATGAAAAACAATACCCAGAGAAGAGGTTTGATGAGAGCAAAGAGGAAGAAGCTAAGAGGCTCCCAAAAACGTTCATATTGCACTGGGATAATTATCCATCTCACAATGCGATTCTCATGGTACAAACCATTGAAGCACTGGGTTTCCCAATGTTAGGTCATGTACTATACTCTCCTGACTTATCCCCTTATCGTTATGATTTTACCGTCATGCCGGCCGTGAGCTGAAGAGGGAGTTGAGAGAGTTTCTCATGGGATAACTTGAAGTCAGCCGTCTTTTGCAGTCTATGGGAAAATGGGTTTAAAAAGAGTTCAAAGACTGGAGTAATAAAGACATGAACTATGCATATGTTAAAAACAAAGGACATTAAGTAGCAGTTATGAAGTATGAAATAAGAATATGATATGCCATATTTAATTGTGATTTGAAATATATCATCAAAAGTGTTTCGATTGAAAGTTTAGTTTTTTGATAGTTGCCCCGGGTCTTCATGCTTTCTGTTGCTATGGCAACCATAACTTCAACCAATTACATCACTTTGATCTGTAACTTATTATTTCAATTCAATAATGTTTGAACATTATTCTGTGCAAAATTTATGAGGATTGGGTAAAATCTGAAGAAAAGCCAGATACTTTTACCTTATTTATTGATCACCCTGTATGTACTCGATCAAATATTTATCAAATGTCATTTTATAAGCTTATCGCAATGTATTCTGCTACTAATGGCCCACTCGGAATTGGAAAACTCAAACCCCGGGTTGTTCGAGTTGCCTTTTCGTTTAGTGGTCGCACTTGTCAATACAAGTACCCGGATGTTGTTTACAAATGGTGGACGATGGTGTAAATCAGAGTCATGGGATACATACATGTGGCTGTTGATATAACGACCATGACATTGATTTCAAATGTAGAGTATAAGCCAAACATATTATAGAAAGCTTTGTAGCAATAAGCCTACACTGACGGATCTAGCGTAGATTCTATACATCGTAAGCTTTCAAGAAGACTGATCGAGCCAACAATGGTGAAAAAATCGATAGGACTAATGGACTTTTATGCTCGGTAACACTACAATATTAGACCATTTATCGTTAATACTTTGAACTAGTCCACAGTATAATCAAGTTAATACATGTCAAGAATTTAAATCTCTATCCGAGATCTATATCTATACGTACAAATGTAACTTGTTCGTATAGATCATCTCTAAACCCCTGTAAGCGTATAGCCAATGCACATATAGACTATCAAGTCGAGAGAAACAAGCTCTTCCAATATTTAACAAGAGAATAACGTGTACATTCGGCTAACATCTTTTGTTTGGCACATATTACACGTGCTCTGAGCTCTACCATTGTCTCGATTCAGCTTATTAATAGGATATTTTCAATACTAAGCCCCAGTTATCGCATTCAATTATGGGTTGTGCGTCAAGCACAGGGACGTCTACATATCCTACAAATGGCCATGGAATGAGGTCAACACCAGCGTATCCAGGACAAACTATGGGCAATCCACAAAGTAAGAAATTTAAAACAATTTTAATCATAAGTATAAGTAAACACTCTTTATACAATTTATGGCTATACACTATAATCGATAGAACATCAATGTCTCTGAAGTACATTCTCTTTGTGTAATGACTAATGTGTTTTATTCACAATTCTAAATGAGCTATTGAGTTGGTTTGCATTGGTTAACTACCTGTACATGTACGTGTACACATAACATATATTATTTCCAAGGACTAAGGTCAGTCAGAACAGTTATCATATGGAAGATAAAACGATGTCATTTGTTGTTGCCATTTATATGTACATTACCAGTACAGTGCCATTTCAAACAGAACGATTATTCTCACCATGTCAGTAATATAATGTTCATTTTGTCATCGAAGTTCTTGTTTATTTGAAGATATGAGAAAAGGCTATCATACAGGGTATCCTAATGGATATGTTGGACCAGTAGGAACCACTGGAGGTGGGATGGACAACACAGATGCAATGTTATTAGGTAAGTAAAACAAGTTATTTATTTGATTGATCAGTTGATTGTTTGTTTTGTATGTCTTTATCGTTCATATTTTAGGAGGGGTAAAAGTTTTTATTTACAATTAATTTATGGTTAGAGTACAATTTATGGCCCAAGTACAGGGTGGTCCAAAAAAGTGAACCCCTGCAACGGTCCATATTTCCCTTATCACCTTCAGGAATCCTTTCATATTTTCACTGCATGTTGTAGAGGAAGGTCTTAAAATTTTTGTTGGACCATACATTTTTCTTAGTCTTACAATTTACAGAAATTATAAGCCCTAACCAAATGTTACTGTAAATGGATAAAATGTGATTTTCAACATCCACAATTCTTAAACCCTTCAACACCCTTCCACTTACAATTTTAGCTGCATTCTTAAAGAACTAATATTTTTTGACTCTGTTTGGTTTTGAATCACGCACCTTATGGCGTAAAAACTAGCATCCGTGGTGATTGTTTTCATGTTCCTCATGCCTTGGTCACATATGCTCAATGGCCGGCGCCTCACCGATTGAGTGTTTTGTTCAATATTCAATTTTGAACGAAATACTCAATCGGCCGGGCGCCGTAGTGAAAATCGGAGCAAATGTGACCAAGGTATTATGCAACCTCCTTCTCAGAGGCTAGAATGTGCAATACGATGGTGCAAGTTTTCTCCACATCAAACAATTAAAAACATGGTATAATTAACAAGACAATGCATAGGCCCGTATCAATATTAACTGGAGTTTTTTATATTTTCTCGTAATCACAGAACGACATAACATTTGATATTTATTACATGTTTATTTATGTATTTGTACACTTCAGGTGGAGCTGCAGGATACATGGCAGGTTCTTACATGGCAGGAGGTGGCGGTCATTGCGGGATGGGAATGGGGATGGGAACTGATCTTCCAGGAGGCTATCACATAGGACCTCAGATGCCTACACATGATGTAACTGTCATGGGGGTGGATGTATTATGATAGAGCCTAAATATGACCGTATAAGGGCATTTTGTTCTATATCGAACCTTTTTGGGATATGATATAGGCAGTATAGAAGACTATTGGAGTGAGAATAGGGACTGATCTTCCAGGAGGCTATCACTTAGGACCTCAGATGCCCACATATGATGCAACTGTCATGCATGGGGGTCGATGTATCGTGATAAAGCCTAAATATGACCTTATAAGGGCATTTTACAGTATAAAGAACCTTATTGTAGTGAGAATGGGGACTTATCTCTCAAGAGACATTTTCGACATCAGGTGCTTGCACATGCAGTCAAGGAGGATTGGCTCCCAGAATCGAAGTCGATATTTTCCAACAATGAAAACGCCGAAATGTCGTTATTTTCTGAAATTATAACCGATTATAAATTCAAAATAAACAGTTCAAAATATTCGAACCAATATCTCGATCATTTCTTGTGAGTTTTGGAATTTTTCGTTGGGAAATAAGACCAAAATTCACGATTCAAATGTTGAAGTGAACAAAATGGCGGTCGTTGGAATTCAAATTTTGTAGCACGACATGCCCATATATGGGGCAGAATATTGATGTTGCACTCTGGGAGCCAATCCTCCTTGACATGCAGTCGAAATGTTGAGACATGCGCAGACCTCTATTTAGCGATATTTTCATTTCAAATATGGCGGCCAATCCGATGTCTGACGACCCTTACAAAGAATCTAGGCAGTGTGCATTTTTACTTCCTGTGAAATAACAAGTGGCATTTAGTAGTTGTTTTGTGTTTTATTATCATTCTGCATCGTAATTCTATGTGATGTGGTGTTGAAATGTCAGCAGAAATACATATCCATACGATAATCGAGTGAATCAGATAACAGATTTTTCGAAAACCCGTCTCGTGCTAAGCGTGTAAAAACTTGTATTAACATGCTCAAAAGTGTCAATGTGCACATCAATGTCAAGCTAAATCAATGTTGTGTCGAAAACAGGTACCCGATCTACTCAAAACAGCTTGTCATTCACATATACACACTTCGCAAACACGGCGAAATGATCTGAATCTTGGAATTTCGTTGGAGAGCTAGTAATGTTTGCTCCGGTCTTCGTCATAAGTGTTTATCAGACTTCACGCATGCTCAGGAGAAAAACCATCAACCAATAACGTTTATAAATCTGCGCATATAATTTTGCGCATGCGCCTTACAACGGTAAAGAAATTCGTATTTATAAACGAACCAATTTGAGATAACCCGGTATCAGTCGGAGAAATCTGACGATCTACGAAACTCACTTCAAAAAATCAAATGCGGACTGACGGTGTATTCTACTATGTTCGGATCTAAGATTTTCAGTATAGATAAAGTCTTTTATGATCTTTCGAATGAGGTAAGTCTCTAGTTCGAAAGACAATCGTATCAACTTGAACAAAAGTTGAATTTTGACGAAAAATTTTAACATGCGCAGAAGTCCCATTTTCGTTATACCATATTGACTGCATGGTATTACTGCCATGGCCATATATGGTTGCGGATGTACAATGATAAAGGCTGAATATTTCTATGTCAATTTGGAAAGGCGACTACTGGTATTAGCCTTTTGTATGTAAACCTGCACTCTACTTCAAATACAGTCTCACTTTATTTGCTATTTTTATGATCAGCTTTATCCGAATATGTCAGGTTAGATCAAAAGATCATCTCTTATTGTATATTCAGAGTGTGGATGAAGCTTTCTTTTAAAAGCAATTTAATAATTTAACATTAAATCCTATATTGAATCTTAAATTAAGTTTAGTTAGGCCTAGCAGTGACTTCTTTACTTGAAATAAAAGTACTCCACATTACTTTAATGTGTGGGTCACATTTGCTCCGATCAATCGCCGGCCGATTGAGTGTTTTGTTTAATATTGCATTCAATTTTGAACAAAATACTCAATCGGCCGGGCGTCGTAGTGAAAATTGGAGAAAATGTGACCATAGGCAAAGGTCGAAAAAAATATTTTTTAAATAAAGATGGCATAGTAATCGATCTGTGTTTAAGAGAAAAGGATAATACTGGATTCTGTTGATGCTGCCTTCTTTATATCGACCCAGAACCTATGAATGTGACCAGGGCATAACCTCGAATAAAAGAAGGATCACTTTGTATTAGTGGTGTCAATTAACTGCTTGAGTATTGCTAGAGTTTGTATTCCCGGGTAGCATTCATATGTAAATGAGTAATCCTAGCTTAAACGTTAAAAGCAAAAGTTCACAGTTGTATCAACAATAAACTACTTCTGAATCTCAATTTCAATTTTGCTTTTATAGGGAATAAAATCTAAATTAGATATTAATTATTTATTTATCGACAAAATATTAGAAGTACTACGATTTTCAGTGACGGATGTATTTTACAAATAGGTCCAGGGAGTAGTGTTTTTTATATAACTAAATAAGCTATTTATACTAGATCTGAATTAATATTAAGAAAATGTCTTAAATTTTTTGTAAATTATATTTATTTATTTACGATATATCTGTTCATTCTAATGCATGATTCTATCATTTCTGTATCAAATAAGAAATAAAATTGGACATGCTAAAATGTCAATATGCTAAATGATAGACAAAATGTTGATTCATAAAATACGAATATGAATATTTATTAGTATTATATTTATTAGATGTTATATGGACATTTCAGAATTTCAGATATTTCTAAATAAAATAACATACACACATTGAAATTGCTTTCATGATATACTGGTGTCCACGATTTTGCCATAGATTTCGTTAACGCAAGGGAGGCGAATTCAGTTAGAGAACCTTGCACCTTAAATTAAAAGTATAATATAAACTCTGACTCTGAACAACAAATATGAATTCAGGCAGCTTTGGAGCTGCTATCTTCCATCCTTGCTGCAAGCGTACTTGTCTGAATTTAAAGGGGCAACAAGGACTGTAGAGAGAAAATTCGAAAATTTTTACTTTTTATGAACTATCGGGTCAATATTTAGCATCTTCATTGACGTACCTTTTTTCTTAAGATGTATGGATAAACTATCAATTTCAGCATTAAGAAGTGTAGATTCAGTTCAAAGCTTCTATAACGGGAGTCGCACTTATAGATTTTTAAGATCACCACGTTTCAAGAGGAATATAAGCTAAAATAATGTTCATCCAGGGGGTTTCTTTGGAGATAATAAAAATATGTGATAGTCTTGATGTATATCCAAACTTAAATATATTTTGACACTGGTCCATGACTCCCTTTCTAAAAAGAACATTTGGAATGACAAAAACAATGAAGTGAACGGTAATAAATTAAGAACTTTCAGGCAATTTAAGTATGGAGTGGTAGCAGAAAGTTATGTTACTTGTTTCATTCCAAGACACCATCGAAGTGCATTGGCTAAACTGAGAACTGGGACACTACAACTCCGTATAGAAACTGGTAGATATGATCGTACTCCATTGGACCAGAGAACTTGCAAACTCTGTGATTTGAATGAAGTTGAGAATGAAATCCATTTCTTGATAAAATGTCCACACTATAAGCTCCCAAGGGATACCTCTTATAGAGAGATTGCGCAAGAGTAATTGCCATATAAAGACTTGAATAATGCAAATTTACTTTTGACATTTATTAGCCTAATGCTTGCTAAGAAGATTCAAAAACCTCTAGCAGCTCTTATACATAATATGTGTTCAAAAAGGCAATTTGACTATGGCGTATTATGGGAGTTACATTTGTGAAGTCCAGCCTTGATTAAAACTGATACCTTTCCTTCCCATATGATACATTTTTAGAATTAATGATATAACTGGGCAACAAAGTGTGTGTCCCCAATTTGTTATAGTCACTTTCCAGCACTTGACTGCAAAATTTATTGTATCAATACAGTTTATTTATGTTTGCATGCATATTCATTTATTGTGTTAATGGCCATTAATAGCAAACTATTTGTCAAAGCATTTAAAGATGGCAGCATTTGAATACTACTCTACTTAAAGGGGCCCAACACCTTACATAACTTCTTAACGGAGAGGAATAAGGTAAAATGCTTGCCGGAATCTGAATCTGCGTATTTTTTAATGATTTTTCACCGTCTTAGAATTTCAATTTTTTTCCTTTGAAAAAATGAGATTTGCATTGTTTTCCAATTAGAAAAATGAGTAAACATAAATAGCTCGAAATTTAACGGTGAGATTTTGTTTTAAAAAATCATGGATATCAAGGCTAAATATAGCTATACAATAAACATAAAAAAGCAATGCTTGGACTCTTCATATTCACACAAAAAATTAATTAGTAAATGAGGTTTGATATTTGTGAGAATAAGTTGTACGAGGTGCAATGCTCTACAAACACCCGACTACAGGGTGGATTAGGATCAATGACACACATAAAAATTAATTTTAAAATATTTCATGATAATTATCTGAAACAAAAGCAGTTAGCGAAAGATACGTTTCATAGTCCACCCGCTATGGCCCAGTGGCAGAGAGAGTCAGGGTTACCAATATCGCTTGGCCCCGGGTTCGATTCCCGGTTCAGACAAGTTTGTTTGTGCGTTATGTAATTCTGGGTGTTTGACTGAGTGGTTCACGACTCGTATAAAAGGCTGTGGTGTGTACCTGTATGTCTGTGTACCTGTGCACATAAAAGAACACAGGGCTCCTCCAAGGAGGGGTTTCTGGCTCTATCTTCGAGTGTAAAATACGTAAATACGGAATATACCAATGAGGTATTGCTCGCCAAATATGGCGGTAACCAAGATATAATAATAATAATAATAATAATACACTCAATAATAGTTATCACTTTTGACTATATATACATATCTCATGGGAATGTATTTCCATCTGCTCAGGATATCATATTTTAGCTTCGAAAATCACAATCGTTGGATAATACATTTGTCTCAGAATGATAGGCCACCCTGTAGCAATGTAGCTTTCACTTGAAGTGTACCCTTGAGAATAATGAACTTACTTTCAAATTGGTCTTGCTTTTGTGGTGTATGTGGCTTTTTAGCAAATCTGCCACGCTCATTTCTTTCCAGAACCATCTTGTTCAAATGTATCACTATATTATACGCGCATGTATAGACAGATGACATAGATATACATATAAATTATATATTGCACCTG